GTTGGACTGGATGGGCCATTGGCCTGATCCAACATTGGCTTGTCTTATGTTCTTATAAGAGGGAATTGGATAAGCATCTGGAGGAGAGGTCCATCAGTGGCTCTTAGCCACAAGGTATAGAGAGGAACTCTCGGTCTGGGGCAAGTGATGCTCTGTATTCTTGGTGCTTGGGGGGGTGTGCAACAGAGGGAGGGCTTCTCGTGTCCTGGCCCCACTGCTGGACCTCCTGATGGCACCTGGTGTTTTTAGCCACTGTGTGACACAGAGTGTTGGACTGGATGGGCCTTTGGCCTGATCCAACATTGGCTTCTCTTATGTTCTTATAAGAGAGAATTGGATAAACATATAGAGCAGAGGTCCATCAGTGGCTGTTAGCCACAAGGTATAGAGAGGAGCTCTCGGTCTGGGGCAAGTGATGCTCTGTATTCTTGGTGCTTGGGGGGGGGCAACAGTGGGAGGGCTTCTGGTGTCCTGGCCCCACTGCTGGACCTCCTGAGGGCACCTGGTATTTTTAGCCACTGTGTGACACAGAGTGTTGGACTGGATGGGCCTTTGGCCTGATCCAAAATTGGCGTCTCTTATGTTTTTATGTTCTAACCTCAGGCTCACTTCTGCAGTCCCTTTAAATTTTAAAGGGACTGCAGTAGAAGCCCGACAAACAGCTGAGAGGCGGGAGCAATATGCTCCAGTCTCTCTGTTGTTTTCAGCCCAGTAATATATCCAGGATTTTTTCAGGAATTTCCCCCATTTCCTGAGAAAACCTGGATACGTTTGGGATGTGGAAATCTACCTGGAAAATACCAGTAAGGTATTTTTTGGGTAGATTTCCGGCTTGGGTAGACCCAAATGCACATCCCTAATAGCTACACAGAAATGTTCTGAAACAGATGTCTTTCAGTACAGATGCTGTAGATAGGCCAGGAGTTTTGTGCTCTGATTGGCCTTCCTGGAGGCCTCCCTGGCCAGGATTGGATGGACCCCACTGTGGTCTGACCCAGCAAGCTTCCTGCTACATTCCTTCCTTCAACGAAACAGAGTACAACTTCTCCCCTGCTTTTCCCACACACTTCCATTTTCCCAGTAGAAAAGAGCAAGGGCCCAGTCAGGAGCACCTTAAAGACTAACAAAATATGTGGCAGGGGATGAGTTTTCATGAGTCACTGCTCGCTTCTTCAGATAAGACTAGAATGGGAGCCCGTCTGCCCTATTTATTGGACAGTGGAGTGATTTCAGATGCCGGATGACTTTACCAGGCAAATGACAATAGCTGGTGAATAACAATAGCAGGTGTGATTGGATTTAGGTCAGATATACAGAGGGGTAATAGGAGTGGAGAAATCAGCATTGGTAAAGAGACAGGAAACCTATGTCTCGATTCAGTCCAGGTGGATGCATTGTCCTGAGCTTCATTATCAATTGCAATTCAGCAGCCTCTCTTTCTAACCTCCCTTTGAAATTCCTTTGTAAGAGAACTGCTAAACTGCAATTGATAATGAAGCTCAAGACACAGCTACCCATCTTGATCTATTTCCATTTTCCTAGTTTCTTTTTCCATCCTACTCATGCTCTCAAACCTTTCTACACTTCTCAAATAAAATACTCGCACGCACACACATTGCTGTAGCCAGGATTTTAAAAATTCTTATTAAGACAAGAGAATCTGTTGCCATACAAGCCTATCAATGTGTTTTTATGAACTGTATGGACTGTGCAAAGGGACAGTACAACATGGTGACGTGGGAATACATGTTGAGACTGCACACCTGAAAGAGGGACACCTTCCTTTAGTGTTGCTGCCACAGTGAGTCCAGAGTTATCAGCCATCTCGCCTGCTGTGAGATGAAGCAGTTCCATAAGCCTGCACAAAGCCTCAGATGCCATGCCATGGAAAATCATGAGGACAGAGAACTCCAGACGCCATTAGGAGTTTCTTCCAGCACATGTAGGCAACCCCTTTCCCCCCTCTTCCAGCTACCTACAAATCTAATCAAGAGACTCTATTCATGGTGGCTTAGCAACTAATCGCTCACCCATCAGCAAGCTGGCTAGGGCCATGGAGAGACAGTAGCCCTAGCCTAATGATTCAATCACTCTTCATCCAGGAGCCAGTCCCCAGACCAAGTTACTAGCTCTCAATATTGAACACCCCCTAGCTCTCCTCCCCCTTTCTCTCTAACCAATCGTATGTTTTATGGAACAGACTAACAGGAGGTGTCACAGGGGGATGTGGCCAAACTAGCCTGCCCCCCCCCCACGTTATAGAAGATGCTGCCCGAGCACATGGTCTCTCTCTCTCTCTCCATGACCCCTATCAAAGCTTTAACCCTCTTATGTCCAGCTTGCTATCCATAAACCCTACCACCAGTGTTCCCTCTAAGGTGAGTTAGTGTGAGCTAGCTCACAGTTTTTTAGCCTCCGGCTCACACATTTTTGTCTTAGATCAGGAAGGAGGGCTCCAGAGCAAACTAATTTAATGCAGTAGCCAAATCGCTCGCTCACAACTTTAATGCCAGTTGCTCAGAAAGTAGAATTTTTGCTCACAGGACTCCATAGCTTAGAGGGAGCATTGCCTACCACCATCTTTAAACTCTAGTCTGCAGCTAGAGTGCACGTGGTTCTGCCGGTTCAGAGCACATGTTCCCCATCTCCTATTTCTAAGCCCTCCATTTTCCCATTGGAACGGCTCAATCAATGAAAACAGGTAAATATCACCCAATCAACGAATGTCCTGCTAATGCAACTGTGTTTATGATCTATCTTGATGTCTGAGAACCAGTATATGTGTGTGTGTGCTTGAGTATTGTTTGACTGAGACATCTCCATCAGTAAAAGACATTATATTTTACCAATCATAGTCTCTGTGTCTGTTCTGGTACTTACAGTAAAGGTGGGACTTCTGTATAAACTGGTGTGAACCCTAATTTGCCTACTGCCAATTAATAATCATAACTTCCCCAATATTATTTGAGAATTTAAGGCAATTTGGCTAACAAATCAGACTCAGCAGGATAATAAGTAGGCTTACGATATATAACCCCGCCCTCTCTCCCTTCTTCCTGATCTCTGTTTTAATTGCTTTTTTCATCTGATGAAATGTGCATGCATATGAAGGCTTATACCCAGAACTGAACTCTGTTGATCTTAAAGGTGCCTGACTGGACTCCAACTTTGTTCTATGGCTTCAGACCAACATGTGAATCTTGCACTTTTTATGTTTTTGAACTTATTTGAACAGCTTTTAATTTGTTCTAATGATGTTTTGTTTGAGGAGAGATTGATTTAAAGGGTTTTAAAATGTGATTTTTATCATGTATATTTTTAATTTGTTATCCGCCCCGGACACTTGTGAGAGCAAAAGGGCAGGATATACGTTTTGTAACTAAAATAGAATAAATAAACAATGTATGCTACAAATTTAACCACCAAGGAACCACAGAAATGTGACATCTACTTTGGGAGCTAGTGGCATTAAAGTTGTGAGCGAGCGATTTGGCTACTACCTAAATTAGTTTACTCTGGAGCCATCCTTCCTGAGTGAAGACAAAAATGGGTGAGCCAGTTTGGTGTAGTGGTTAAGTGCGTGAACGCTAATCTGGGAGAACCGGGTTTGATTTCCCCACTACACCACTTGCAGCTGCTGGATGACCTTGGGCAAGCCATAGTTCTGGTCAGAGCTGTTCTTGAAAAAGAACAGTTTCTGTCAAGAGCTCTTTCAGCCCCACCTGCCTCACAGGGTGTCTGTTGTGGGGAGGGGAGGGGAGGGGAAGGGAAAGGAGTTTGTAAGCTGCTCTGAGACTCTAACTGAAGGGGGGGGTGTAAATCTAATCTCTGCTTCTTCTTCTTCTTCATCTTGAAAAAGCAGCGAGCAAAGGAGTGGGCGTGACTGGAGAAGCTGGGAAAGGGCAAAGCCTATGGGGCCTGCACCCATCAAAGCCACTTGGCTCACCTGGGAAACACATTACCTTTCCACTGAAGAGCTGCTGTATCTCATTGGTGTAGGGCTCAGAATCACTGGCAACGTACACAGCTTTCGCTTTGACCGCCTCCACCCAGAGCTTGAGAGCACGCTGGATTTCCTTTAGGTCTGGCAGACACATGTCCGTGGTGAGAGGGGCAGCGGTGTTGCGGTCGTAGCCCACGCACTGAGGCGAAGCCATTAAATGAGACCCAGCTGTGCCATCCGTCAACATCTTGCATGCGTTTTTCTAACGGAGGAAAGAAAGGAGATGAGAGAGAACACAGAACAGGGGACAGACAGAATGCACCGGTGCTATTCCTAGGCAGCGATGGATGGCTCGCTTCCCAAAGAGTGATTAACACATGGAATTCACTGCCACAGGAAGTGGTGGCGGCTACAAGCATGGACGGCTTCAAAAGGGAATTAGATAAGCATATGGAGCAGAGGTCCATCAGTGGCTATTAGCCACAAGGTATAGATAGGGGCTCTGGGGCAAGTGATGCTCTGTCTTCTTGGTGCTTGGGGGGGAGGGCAACAGTGGGAGGCGGCTACAAGCATGGACGGCTTCAAAAGGGAATTAGATAAGCATATGGAGCAGAGGTCCATCAGGGGCTATTAGCCACAAGATATAGATAGGGGCTCTGGGGCAAGTGATGCTCTGTCTTCTTGGTGCTTGGGGGGGTCAACAGTGGAAGGGCTTCTAATGTCCTGGCCCCACTGGTGGACCTCCTGATGGCCCCTGGTATTTCTGGTCACTGTGTGATACAGACTGTTGGACTGGAAGGGCCTTTGGCCTGATCCAACATTGCCTTCTCTTATGTTCTTATGAGATCTTCAGGCCCCACCTGAAGAAGAATACAAGAGATTGGATTCATACCCCGCCCTTCACTACCCGAAGGTGTCTCAGAGCGGCTTACAATCCCTTCCCCTCCCCCTCCCCACAAGAGGCACCCTGTGAGGTAGGCGGGGTGGAGAGAGCTCTTTCGAGGACTGCCCTTGAGAGAACTGCTCTGAGAGAACCTGTGACTGACCCAAGGTCACACCAGCAGCTGCACGAGGTTTTGTGAGTCTCTATATGACTAAGGAAGCAATTGGAGTTTAGTTTAGCCTGTGTGGCTATATAAGGAAGAGAGTAGCCTGTGTGGCTATATTAGAGCAAAAGAGTTCAGCCTGTGTGGCTAAATATGAGAGAGAGAGAGAGAGAGAGAGAGAGAGAGAGAGAGAGAGGCCTGTCAGAGTTGAGTTTTGGTGTATGAGAGACTGTGTGTGACGCCAAGCTTTGTCAGTTATATTTTCTTTCTTCAACAACAGTTAAAAAAAAGTAACCGGAAATCTATTTTGTTCTTTATTAAAGAAATCATTTTTTGTTTAAACTTATCCCAGCAATCAGAACAGTCCTTCCTCAGGGCCTCATAGTCCTCTGAAGCGCCCAGACACTGGGTCATTCTACCAAAAGAGAGAGATTCGGAATTTTGAATTCCTGGTAGCAGCAGAAATCTACTAAGTTCATGTACACAGAGTGTGGTCTCAAAGGTGAAACAGTCTCCCCAATAAGCGAGGACGCTACATGCTCCTAGATTCAAATCTAGCCGTTCTACTGCAGGCCAACTTTGTCTCAATTGGTAAGTCACCTTGACTACTGTTTTGTGAGAAAGGCAGATTAAATCCCCCCCACACAAACAGAAGTATGAGCTTTACCCAATCTGAGCCCAGTCGGAGATGTATTCCCACGTAGGGTCTGACTAGGAAGGAATTAATGTAGGACTCTCCCTTGTTCACCAGGTTGTCAGACCACACCACAAACCGATGCAGAGGCCGGTACTCCTCCAGAACCGGAAACTGGGCTGGTGCCCCCGGGAGGGCCAGAACAGGATATTCAGAGGGCGGAAACCTAGCAGGATGAAAAAGGAAGTACGGCAGGTTTTCAGCTGGTTCTGCAAATGTGAAGGAAGACTTGGAGGTCCTGTCTGTTCCCCCAAGGGACCGCCTTTCCCCATATGTTCCCCCAAGGGCACTACGGCCGGGGACTCAACATCTCCTGGTAACTCCAGGCCCCAAAGATATTAAACTTGCTGCAACCAGGGCCAGGGCCTTTTCGGTGGCGGCTCCTACCTGGTGGAATGAGCTCCCGGAGGAGATCCGGGCCCTGCGGGACTTTGCGCAGATCCGCAGGGCCTGTAAGACGGAGCTCTTCCGCCAGGCTTTTGAGTAGGAGCCGCCGCCACACCACTGTACCATCACCGCACCACCACCACCAACTGCAGCGGGTACCATCGGGGAGCGAGATGGCCCTGAGATGAAGAATGGATGGCAGTGCAGTCTGAAACTTACTTTGTTACTTCATTGTTCTGGGACCATCTTGTTACTAAGATCCTTTGTGACAACTAGAGCACCTGCACTTTATTGTATTGTATTGTATCAATGATTGTTTTATTCTGTTTTTAGTTGTATTAATCTTGGCATATGTGCCTCATCTGTTAGCCGCCCTGAGCCCGTTTCGGGGAGGGTGGGTTACAAATCTAAAAATAAATAAATTAATTAATAATAAATCTGATTGCCTGAGCCAAGAAGGAAAGCGAAACTGTTCTGCACCACGGGTATCAAGCGAGCCAAGCTGATACCAAGGCACTGCCAAAAGCGAGCACCAGTTACACACCAAGGTCATGGGAGTAGTGTGAATTTCTGTACAATATGCATTACAAACGAAGCTGAGAGAATAGCTCCGGATCCTTCACCTGCAGAGCATTCCTAGGGGGGAAAAGAACACCTTGGAAGATACTCTAGAGAAGAAGAAGAGATTGGATTTATACTCCACCCTTCACGCAGAGTCTCAGAGCGGCTTACAAACTCCTTTTCCCTTCCCCTCCCCACAACATGCACCCTTGTGAGGTCAGTGGGGCGGAGAGAGCTCTTTCAAGGACTGCCCTTGAGAGAACAGCTCTGAGAGAACTTGTGACACCAGCAGCTGCATGTGGAGGAGGAGTGGGCAATCAAACCCATTTCTCCCAGACTAGAGTCTGCGCCACCAACCAACCTCAACACCAAACTGTGGTCCCCGACACATTTGACCCTGTGGACACCTTTGGAATTCTGGCACAGAGTGGTGGATCCAGCTACAAAATGGATGCTGCTCACAGGAGGAGGACCCAGCCACAAAATGACTGGAACAGCTGAGCAGTAAAGTGTTGTGGTGGCGGTGGCTGCCAAAGCAACGTTTTTAAGAACCTGCATGGCCAATCGACTCTCCAGTGGCCAATCGGAAGCCGTGTGGGCAAAAGCCCCGCCTGGCCCTGCCCACCTTCTATGCACACTCTGTGGGTGCCAAGAAAAATGCCGAAAGGCGCTATGGCATCCATCGGCACCATGCTGGGGACCGCGCTCTACAAAAGGAGCCAGAGCGTCTACAGGGCTGTGGGCTTTGCCCTGCTGGACAATTAAGCAATCGCCTTAAGACAGAAGTAAAGGGAATGTTCACAGAGCAGCTGAAAGAGGTTTCAACAACTTGTCTAACCCCCTTCCTTGACCACAGCAACCTGTCCTCACGTTAGGAAGGACGTTGACAAGCTCGAGCGTGTCCAGAAGAGGGCAACCAGGATGGCGAGAGAGTTGGAATCCATGTCTTACGAGGAAAGGCTGAAAAAGTTGGGTTTGTTTAGCCTGGGAAAGAGAAGGCTTAGAGGGGACAAGTATCTGAAGGGCTGTCATGTAGAAGATGGGGCGGATCTATTCTCTCTTGCTCCAGATTGCAAGACTAGATCTAATGGGCGGGAATGACAAGGGAGTCGTTACCGGCTCAACATCAGGTGAAACTTCCTGTCAGAGTGGTTGAGCAGTGAAACAGACTGCCTCGGGAGGTGATGGATGCTCCTTCGCCGGACATTTTCAAGCGGATGCTGGACGACCATCTTTTGGGTATGCTGTAGGGCTCTCTTTCGGCTGTGCTCCTGCAGAGTGCAGGGGGTTGGACTAGATGACCTAGGAGGTCCCTTCCAACTCTAACATTCTATGATTCTAGTGTGTGTAAGCACAGCCTAAGCGTCTTCCTGGGACACTGTCTCCTCCTTCCTGGAAAGAGAACCTATGACATATCTTGGCTCCTGCTCCAGAGCTACCCTCTTCTTATTACTGGGCAGTCCACCCCCCCCCAAGATTTCACCTTTCCATTTAAATGGCATGCTGCCTTATCAAAAGGGGCACAAAGCCTCCGCGAAACATCTTATGCAAAATTCTTCAAAGCAGATATAATATCCCAGATACAGAAAACGTTTCAGCTGTAATCAAGCTGCGATTTTAAAACTGTTCAAATTCTTTGGATTACAGCAATTCCCCAGATCCCTGACATCATCTCCTAAGAACTTGCAGACAGGGTGGGACTCCTGAGAAAAACAAGTTCGAATGCGTACCTCCCTATTAAACTAGACCAGCAAACGTTATAAACTGGAAGACTAAACAACTACAACTGTGAACCATGTATGTAACAAGTTGTGTTATACCAGTATTCGTGGCATGATCACCTTGCTTCTGCCATTGTAACCCACTTTTGGCACGACTAAGGGGGGACATGAGAGAGGTTTATAAAATTATGCATGGGGTGGAAAGAGTTGACCAAGAGAACTTTTTCTCCCTCTCTCAAAATACTACAACTCGAGGGCATCCAATGAAGCTGATGGGCACTAGGTTCAGGACAGACAAAAAGAAATCCGCGGCCAGAGGATGTAGTGATGGCCACAGAAATAAACAGCTTTCAAAGGGGATTAGATAGATTCATGAAGGATTAGACTATCAATGGCTACTAGCCATGGTGATTGAGGGGGACCTCCGCATTCAGAGGCACTAATTCTGTGAATCCCAGAGCTAGGAGGCAACATCAGGGGAAGGCCTCAGCCTCTGTGCCCTGTTGTTGGCCTTCCAGAGGAACTGGTTGGCCACTGTGTGAGACAGGAGGCTGGACTGGATGGACCCTCACTGGTCTGACCCAGCAGGGCTCTTCTGAGGTTCTTATGAAGGCCTCGGCCTCTCTGCCCTGTTGTCCCCCCTCCAGAGGAACTGGCTGACCACTGTGTGAGACAGGATGCTGAGTTACATGGACCACTGGTCTGATCCAGCAGGGCTCTTCTGATGTTCTTATGAAGGCCTCAGCCTCTGTGCCCTGTTGTTGGCCCTCCAGAGGAACTGATTGGCCACTTTGTGGGACAGGATGCTGGACTAGATGGACCCTCACTGGTCTGATCCAGCAGGGCTCTTCTGATGTTCTTATGAAGGCCTCAGCCTCTCTGCCCTGTTGTTGGTCCTCCAGAGGAACCTGCTGGCCACTGTGTGGGACAGGATGCTGGACTAGATGGACCACTGGTCTGACCCAGCAGGGCTCTTCTGAGGTTCTTATGAAGGCCTCAGCCTCTCTGCCCTGTTGTTGGCCCTCCAGAGGAACTGGTTGGCCATTGTGTGAGACAGGATGCTGGACTAGATGGACCCTCACTGGTCTGATCCAGCAGGGCTCTTCTGATGTTCTTATGAAGGCCTCAGCCTCTGTGCCCTGTTGCTGGTCCTCCAGAGGAACTGATTGGCCACTGTGTGAGACAGGATGCTGGACTAGATGGACCCTCACTGGTCTGATCCAGCAGGGCTCTTCTGATGTTCTTATGAAGGCCTCAGCCTCTGTGCCCTGTTGTTGGCCCTCCAGAGGAACTGATTGGCCACTTTGTGGGACAGGATGCTGGACTGGATGGACCCTCACTGGTCTGATCCAGCAGGGCTCTTCTGATGTTCTTATGAAGGCCTCAGCCTCTCTGCCCTGTTGTTGGTCCTCCAGAGGAACCTGCTGGCCACTGTGTGGGACAGGATGCTGGACTAGATGGACCACTGGTCTGACCCAGCAGGGCTCTTCTGAGGTTCTTTTGAAGGCCTCGGCCTCTCTGCCCTGTTGTTGACCCTCCAGAGGAACTGGTTGGCCACTGTGTGAGACAGGATGCTGGACTGGATGGACCCTCACTGGTTTGATCCAGCAGGGCTCTTCTGATGTTCTTATGAAGGCCTCAGCCTCTGTGCCCTGTTGCTGGTCCTCCAGAGGAACTGGTTGGCCACTGTGTGGGACAGGATGCTGGACTGGATGGACCAGTGGTCCGATCCAGCAGAGCCATTCTTCATGTTCTTACGTTCACCAATTCTAGTATATCGCATTCTTTGTTGGATGCCTTGTAATGTCTGATAAGAGTTTTCTTAAAACATTTTTAAATTGAGTCTCAGTGAGAAAAGGCTATAAATGATGTAAACAAAACAACTGGCTCACGTACTCCAAGTAATGGCAGCTCTTTGAGGTCCCGGGCAAGAGTTTTAGTTTTCCCACCTAGCCCTCCCACCTGTAATCTTAACTTGGAGTGCCAGGAACTGAACTGGGGGCATCCTGCACAGCACGGAGCTATTACCCACCCCCCAATGGTGGGGCTATTTTAAATGGTGGGTGAAAATACTGGACTGTTTTATTTTGGTGGATTTTGCTCCCAAGGTGCTACCCTAAAAGGGGATTTCTGAGAAGAGAAATGGCCAATTCAAAGCTAAAATTTAACAAGGAGTGGTATTTTTCTATCATTAAGGCACCTGTTTTGGTCTTGGTAACACACATGCTTACTGGAATTTTATCGGTTGTGCAAAGGAGTCACCACCAAAACAGGCTCCAAGTCACTGGGCAACCTGCTTATCTTTCTCTCCCGTTTTCAGCAGGCAATAGCAGGAAAAGTAAATACTTGCGCATCTTTCCCAGCTCGTTTCATAAATAAACTCAAAGGGACACAGAGGAGTTGTCATCTCCCTCCCCCAAGCCCGCCCCGCCCTCCAAGAGGCACTTGCTACCTTCGGATCCAGTGGTCCTTATAAGAGGCACCGAAGGAGAGGCCTCCAAACAGCTCCGAACTATCGAAATCCACGTCAAACTGATCCCAAAAGGGCCCAAAGGGGTTTCCGTCCTGCAAAAGCAAAGGCAGCCGGCTCATTCACTGCAGCGGATTCGGGGGGAGGCAGGCTGGAGGAGCGAGCAATTCTGCGAATTGCCGGGGAAAACCGCAACCTCCTTCCCTGATGCAACCCACTAGCCCCTGAGAAAACTACAAATCCGCAGCTCTGGGGACAGAGGGCTAGTCAAGAGGGCTGGGGGTGGCAAAGTGGAAGAGAAAAAGAGAAGCCGAGAAAGAGAGCAACCCACAGAGGGTGTTATCTAGAATAAAGTGTAACAAGCAGTGGCGGTAGCAGCAGCAGCCAAGAGTGACCTGAAAGACTTCAGAGCAGCAAGTTTTCCACAGTCCCAAGGTTATGCCAGGCCCCGCAAAATGGAAGCAGGGTGCCTACCTTCATGGGGCATGTCCTTTTATCGGCGCTCCTCTGGGCCGCGGCTTCAAAGCAGAATGCTACCCTCTTGCCGGGAGGCCAGTGGACGGGAGCCAGCTTCTCCATGAACTCCTCCAAGGTGATAACCCGGTGGTATTCCAGGAGAGGGGCGACCTTGAAATATTCCTTGTAGGGAACGTGCAGCTACGGTGGAAAGCAAAATGAGTTTGAGCCGCGCCTCCACAAAGATAAGCCAAACAGAGACCAGCCTGAAGTATAAGCTGTCGGTCTTCAGCCTTCAGAACCACAGACAGTAACTTAAGTTTCAGCAGGGTTCATTTCGTAGAAAAAGAGGTGCAGGAACTCATTAGCATAACTCATTTGCATGTGCCACACCCCCTGACATCACCAGAAGTGTGTCAGAAGGCAACACCCACCACTCAGGCTCCACTGGACTGTTTTGGATTTCTAGCTATCTAGTTTACCTGGCTGCTTCTTGCTCTGACTGAGGGCTGCTGGGAGCAGGGGGTGGGGCTTGTTGCATGTGCCCGCCCCCTGGACTCTTTACTTTTCTCCCTTTCTCACAATACAAGAACTCGTGGGCACTCAATGAAATTGCTGAGCGGTCGAGTTAGAACGGATAAAAGGAAGTACTTCTTCACACAAAGAGTGATGAACACATGGAATTCACTGCCACAGGAAGTGGTGGCGGCCACAAGCATAGACGGCGTCAAGAGGGAATTAGATAAGCATCTGGAGCAGAGGTCCATCAGTGGCTCTTAGCCACAAGGTATAGATAGGGGCTCTGGGGCATGTGATGCTCTGTCTTCTTGGTGCTTGGGGGGGGGGTCAACAGTGGGAGGGCTTCTACTCTCCTGGCCCCACTGCTGGACCTCCTGATGGCACCTGGTATTTCTGGCCACTGTGTGACACAGAGTGTTGGACTGGATGGGCCTTTGGCCTGATCCAACATTGGCTTCTCTTATGCTCTCTTATATAGTGCCGGAGCTCCGCTCCTGTGCGCTCCTGCAGGAAATGACCCCTGAGTTTGAGGCGCCCTCGGTTGGGCAGTAAGACATGCCGTCCTCGACCAGGGCCGGGGCCTTTTTAGTCCTGGCCCCGACCCGGTGGGACCTTCTGCAGTTCCGCAGGGCCTGTAAGGCAAAGATGCTGCACTAGGCTTTTGGCTGAGGACAGCGACAGTTGGTTACATTGGCTGGCACCCTTTCCCTCTCCTCCCTATATATATTTTGCTTAAGTTTTATTTATTTATTTATTTGTTGAATTTATACCCCGCCCTCTCCCGTAGGGCTCAGGGCGGCTTACATAATATAAAACTTGCTCATAAAAACATCAAATACTTATAGTACAAAAACACAATATACAGTTTAAAACCCAATCAAACAATAAAGTGCTCAACTACACAGCATCCATTTCTAAATATCAGAGAGGGCAAATCACAAAACCAAACATCCCCCGGTAGGCATTGCATAATAGATGTTAAACGGATGTTCCTCCTACCCTCCTAGGGCCCTCACCCCCCCCCCCACATTGATGGTAATATAGCGGGGGGGGGGACGGCGGCGGCCCCTAATCAAAAGCCTGGTGGAAGAGCTCCGTCTTACAGGCCCTGCGGAATTGCACCAGGTCCTGCAGGGCCCGGATCTCCTCCGGGAGCTCATTCCACCAGGTGGGGGCCGCCACCGAGAAAGCCCTAGCCCTCGTGACGGCCAGTTTAGCATCCTTGGGGCCCGGTATAGTTAGAAGATTCTGGGCCCCAGACCGTAGCGCTTCCCTCTCCCCCTCCCACCAAATAGCCAGGCAGTCCAGAATGGGAACAGAAAATTGCAAATCGCCATCTGGGGTCTTTTATTCTGGTGCTACTTCTTATCAATTGTACATAGATATTTTAACATTTGCATTTTGTTTTACGGCATTTTGCCTTTTTTGTACGTTGCCCAGAGCCCGGTGTAAGCTGGGATAGGGCGATTAACAAATCGAATAAACAACAACAACAACAACAACAGGCACAGCAAAAGCGCAACCCAAATATCAAAAAGCTACTCACGTTTGTGTATGGAGGCCTGTGATGCCGGTACTCAATCCAGGGGGGTACGGCTAAGGTCCGATTTATCATCTTGGCAAATGCCAAGGTGCCCAGAAAATGGTCCGCCTGGTTCCCAAATCTCCCTTGAAATAAATAAATTTAAAAAATAAAGTGGTGTTTCACAGTCATGAGATCGGAGTTCTAAGGATACATTTAAAAGACGAGGTGCATTAGAGTCCGCGCACTTAACCACTATTCCAAACTGGCTTTAGAATGGTGTTACGACTGATTTACATGTAAATTGAGCTTAATGTTTCTTCATTTGGGCTTATTCGGGCATTCGAGAGAGCTTTTGATACAAAAAATGCAGGCACAATTCAGGAGGAGTGGGGAATCAAACCCGGTTCTACCAGGTTAGAGTCCACCCACTGCTCTTAACCGCCAAACATAACCACTAAGCCCAGGGCCGGCTCACTCACTAGGCGAACTAGGCGCTCACCTTGAGCGCGCCGGCCCTTAGGGGCGCCAAACTGGCACACACACACACACCCTGCTGTCCTGGTTCAGCTGCAAACACTACTGAGTTTTATTTATTTATATATTTATTTATATTTAAATGTATACCCCGCCCTACCCTGGAGGCTCAGGGCGGCTTACAGGGGACTAAGTGTCCGATTAAAACAATACAATATGATTTAAAACAATAAGTTACAATAAAATATGAACAATTTACAACAACATTCCAACAAGTTTCAAACCAGAAGAGGAAGATCTTATCTCACATAGCTACCAATGATCTTATTCTAGAGCCGTGTTTAGCACCACGTTCCACCCTTAGGGGCCAGGCAATCCGATGTTAATTTGCTGGGGCATAACATGTTATGATCTTTCTGATGATACAAACACCAATTCCACCAAAGAACTTAGCCCTCTGGGCACAGAAGGGTCACTCAGCTGAGTCAAAGAAGAATCTAAGTAGGAGGGCTATTACATAAGGACACTCAAGTTGCAACTGACTTGTGGCAACCCCAGCAAGGAACTGTCAAGGCAAGTGAGAAGCAGAGGTTGTTTGTGACTGTGAGTGCCTTTCTTTGCAGAGTCTTCCTTGGTTGAAGTCAGATGGTCAAAGCAGGCAAAGTTACAAAAGCAAAAGTGAGTGTTAAGAGCGTGGGTGCCAGGGGAACGGGAAGTCCGGGGTACAGATCCAATTAACGGGTCCAAGTCATGGTTGGGCACCCGGGGGGGGGGCGCCAGAAGGGATCCTTGCCTAGGGGGCAAAATAAGCTGGGGCCAGCCCTGACTACGCCAAGTAGGCAAACAGTAATTCTGGTGGGCGAAACAAGCAGGGCACAGAGGCTGAGAAATTCCTCTGGTGGTTTCTTCCCAGCAATAGTGTTCAGAGGTTTACTGTTCTTGCACGTGGAAGTTTCCTTTAGGCATCATGGGTCGTAGCTACTGCTGGACCTCATCTCCATGACAAGTCAACCACCCTCTTCATGGCTCCTTAATGTAGGGTTGTCGGCCTACAGGCTGCGCATGAAGACCTCCCAGAATTTCAGCTGACCTCCAGACTAAAGAGATCAGTTCCCCTGGAGAAAATACCTGTTCCGGAAGATGGATTTTGTAGCATTCTACTTTACTGAGATCCCTCCCCCTTCCTAGATGTTCTGTACTATTCTGGTTGGTCTTAAAAGTGGGGTATGACAGGAGCTGCGGTGGCTCAAGGGGTTAAGACGCTGAACTGCAGGCTGTGGAAGGTCGGTAGTTCAGCAGTTCGAGACCCGAGTGTGCCGCATGACGGAGTGAGCTCCCGTCTCTAGTTCCAGCTCCTGCCAACCTAGCAGTTCGAAAGCAAGAAATTGCAAGTAGATAAATAGGTACTACTTCGGTGGGAAGGTAACAGCGTTCCGTGCGCCTTGGCGTTTAGTCATGCTGGCCACACGACCACGGAAACGTCTTCGGACAGCGCTGGCTCTTCGGCTTTGAAACGGAGATGAGCACCGCAACCCTAGAGTCGGATTCGACTGGGTTTCGAGCAAGGGAACCTTTACCTTTACCTATGACAGGGTTAGGGTTGCAGAAGTTCAACCCCCCCAACATCTCCAGTTAAAAGACGAAGAAGAGATTGGACTCATAACCCCGCCCTTCACTCCCTGGAGTCTCAGAGCCACTTACAATTTCCTTTCCTCTCCCCACAGCAGACAACCCTGTGAGCAGTGTTCCCTCTAAGCTGAGTTAGTGTGAGCTAGCTCACAGTTTTTTAGCCTCCGGCTCACACATTTTTGTCTTCGCTTGGGAAGGATGGCTCCAGAGCAAACTACTTTATGCAGAAGGCAAATCGCTCACTCACAACTTTAATGCCAGGAGCTCACGAAGAAGAATTTTTGCTCACAAGACTCCACAGCTCAGAGCAGGGGTGTCAAACATGCAGCCCGGGGGCCAAATCAGGCCCCCGGAGGGCTTCCATCAGGCCCGCAGTGGAACTGGCCATCTCCTGATTCCAGTTCTGCTGCTGCTGCTGCATCATCGCTTGCTTTGCCAGACTCTCTTAATCACTCAGCCATTTCGTGTTTCAACCTGGGTCCTAGACTCAGAACTTCTTGAGCATGAGATTTCTGTGGGGAATGTCAATAAATCAAAAGTAGGTTTGCAGCTTACAGAGCTAATGTTTTGAGCATGCTTTTATTTTAAGTAAAAAAAACCTTTGTGTCCTTTATAAAGTTTATATTTCCGCTACCTGGCACTACATTTCATGACACACGTGGCCCAGCCTGACAACGTCTCATTTATGTAGGGTTGCCAACCCCCCCGGTTTGGCAGGGGTCCCCCACTTTTGGGGGGGTTCTACCCGCTGGTGGACAGATGGCCGGCGGGGGAAGCCCTGCCCCCAAGCCCTAACACCCACAGCCACCCTCTCCCTTCTCTCTTGAGAGAGGGGAGGGAGAGGGGTGGCTGCAGGCCACCTGCCTGATCTTGGCTTGGAGATCGGGCACGCAGGGAAACACCAGCTCCCTCCCTTTAAGTGCAGGGAGCTAGCATTTCCCTGCACGCCTGATCTCGCTCCTTGCACTTGGAGCCCCTTTAAGTGCAGGGAGCTGGCATTCGGGTGCGCAGGCGGACGTAACCAACGTGATGTCATCACATCAGGGATGTCCCGCCCCCCCAAGTCCTCCACTGGGGGGCGAAGATGGACTTGGCCACCCTACGTTTATGCCAGACCCGGCCCTCGTAACAAATGAGTTCGACACCCCTGGCTTAACGGGAACACTGCCTGTGAGGGAAGTGGGGTTGAGAGAGCGCTTTCAAGAACAGCTCCTGAGAGAGCTTGTGACCAATGTTCCCTCTAAGCCGCGCAGTCTTGTGAGCAAAAATTCTACTTTGTGAGCTACTGGCATTAAAGTTGTGAGCGAGCAATTGGGCTACTGCATAAATCAGTTGGCTCTGGAGCCCCGTCCCTTCCTGAGCCAAGACAAAAATGTGTGAGCTGGAGGCTAATAAACTGTGAGCTAGCTCGCACTAACTCAGCTTAGAGGGAACACTGCTGTGACTGACCCAAGGTCACACCAGCAGGTGCAAGTGGAGGCGTGGGGGAATCAAGCCCGGTTCTCCCAGATCAGAGTCCTGCCGCTCCTCACCACTGCACCCTTTGGCCCTGTGAAAAGTTACCTGCAAATCACGAAAGAGAACTTGGCCGAGTGAAAGCAGAACTCAGAAATCAGCAACATTCTTTGGGCGGAGCCCCCCAGCAACAACACGTTGGGTACAGGTGCCAACCTCCAGGCGACGCCTGGAGACCTCCCGGGCTTACAACTCACCTCCCGAGACTACGCAGGCCCCTAGGGAAAACGGCTGCTCCCCTCCCCCCAAGCTCCACCGCCCAAATCTCCAGGAATTTCCCAGCCCAGAGTTGGCAACGCTCCTCTCCCAAGCCTCACCCATGCAGGGGCAATACAGGAGATATCCCGCCGGGTCCCAGGCGCCGCCGTCGACGCTGCTGGGCCACAGCAGGGCGAGGAAGAGGAGGAGGCGCAGGCCGGAGAAGGCCGCGCCGCTCAGCCCGCTCCCGAGCCCGGCCATGCTGCCCTCGGAAGGACGGGGCCGGGTTTCCGTTGCCAAAGCTGGCCCGGCCAGGTCCCGTTCCCATGACGACCGGCCGCCCTTCCCGGCGTGCCCCGCGGGGCGGGCGGAGAGGCGGGGCCCGCGCGAGGCGGCGG